AGTCCTGATTGGATAGAGACAGATTATAACGAGTGTTGAGTCCTGATTGGATAGAGACAGATTATAACGAGTGTTGAGTCCTGATTGGATAGAAACAGATTATAATGAACATTGAGTCCTGATTGGATAGAAACAGATTATAATGAACATTGAGTCCTGATTGGATAGAGACAGATTATAACGAGCGTTGAGTCCTGATTGGATAGAAACAGATTATAACGAGTGTTGAGTCCTGATTGGATAGAGACAGATTATAACGAGCGTTGAGTCCTGATTGGATAGAAAGGTTACTGTTTGTTTGTTTATTTCAGCGACCAGTCTCCACCTCCACCAAAGTCACACCTAAAGGATCAAACTGGAAGAGAAACAGAGGGTAGAAAGGAGAAATCTCCTGACAGGAGGAGGCGTGGCTATGAGGAGCACAGCTCACATCGTCAGGGAGGTGAACGGGTAAGGAGGTGTTCACTGGGACTGTGATACTTACAGTTTTACTGCAACTGTTCTGAAGCTCACAAGACTGTTTCCTCCCATGTGTAGATGAAACCCAGACAGAGGGAGGAGGAGAAGACCAGGAGGAGACAGGTCTCCTCCTCACCTTCTCCCGCTCCACAGAAAACCACGGAGAGGGAGAAAGGGAGAAGGTCTAGAAGTAAACAGAGAGAGAGGGAGAAAGGGAGGCACTCCAAGAGCAGGGAGATGGAGAAAAGGAGGCGTTCAAGGAGCGTTGAAGTGGAGAAAAGGAGGCGCTCCAAAAGCAGGGAGATGGAGAAAAGGAGGCGCTCTAAAAGCAGGGAGATGGAGAAAAGGAGGCGTTCAAGGAGCGCAGAGGTGGAGAGAAGAGGACGCTCCAGGAGCCGGGAAAAGAGAGACAAAGGGAGGGAGAACTTACCTCAGAGGACCAGGCATGACACCACCTCCTCTTCATCCTCCTCCTCCTCATCTCCTCCTCCTCCTCCTCCTCAACAGGATACCAGGAGGGAAAGAACCAGAACCGCTGAGCGTGAAAAAGAGGAGAACAAGCAGCAGAGAAAGACGAGACGTGACTCTTTATCTCCTTCACCTCCTCCTGAAAAAGAGAAGCCACGAGCGCAGAGGAGTGGAGAAAAGGAGCAAATGATTCAGAAGGAGAATCACTCTGACTCACGAGCACTAAATGACAGAGACAACAGGAAAGACACCACCAGGAGACAGGACCGAGGAGCGTCTCCTCACCAGCAGAGAAGTGACAAACGAACAGATGGACCTCTGTCCCAGGTCTCCACGTCTCCTGTCCACACTGAACGCCAACAAGAGAGGGAACAGGAGAAACGACAAACAAATGAAGACAGGCCTACAGGGGAGGACAGGTATTTGGAGAAAGGAAAAGAACAAGGTGCTGGGAGAAGGAGGGATGAGGTCCTGCCATCTGCAGACAGAAGAGACATGTCCAAACCTTTGGAGACATCCCAGAGCAAGAGGACCGACAAACATGAAGACAAGACCAAACAGGCAGCAGAAAGACCAGAGAGCAGCAGTGACAGCAGCAGCAGTGATAGTGATAGTGATAGCTCCTCATCTTCCTCTTCATCGTCGTCTTCATCATCCTCCTCTGAAGAGGAGGACAAAGCTTCAGCAAAGAAGGACAGAAGTTCTACTGTACGAACGTCTGCATCTGCCATCGGAGCTGCTGTTGAAAGGTATTTAGCTAGTGGGAAGAAGGAAAGCTCCGCTCCTGCTTCTGAGGAAACCAGACGGTCTCACAAAGACCAGGACCCAAAGGAGGACAAAGACCAGAAGGAAAGACCGTCCTGCAGAGCTCCTGCTGAAGAACACCAGGCCCAGTCAAAAGGACAAGAGCGTTACAGTCCTACACAGATGGACAGTCCCAGTCCACCTCCCTCCCGCCTCAGCAGACCAGACACCAGAGGAGGCAGCAGCTCTTCTTCTGACTCCACACCTGAGGACAGGACCAGGAAGACAAAGAGGTCAAGCCCCTCAACCAGAAGCTCCAGGTCTCCACCTCAAAGGACTTCCACCACCTCCTCACGTCAACACACACCCCCCAAGCAGTATCAGGAACCTCTATCACGRTCCAAAAATCCCTCTTCTCCTCCTTCAGCCTGGACAAACCGGGGCAGCCAGATGGACAGAGACCAACACAGAGTTGTCAGGAGAAGCAGGTCCAGAAGTCCAAGGAGGAGGGGCATGTCGAGGTCCAGAAGTCCAAGGAGGAGGGGCATGTTGACGTCTGCAAGTCCAAGAAGGAGGGGAATGTTGAGGTCTACAAGTCCAAGGAGGCGCAGTGGGTCTAGGCCTAGAAGTCCAAGGAGGCGCAGTGGGTCTAGGCCTAGAAGTCCAAGGAGGCGCAGTGGATCTAGGCCTAGAAGTCCAAGGAGGCGCAGTGGATCTAGGCCCAAAGGTTCACGGAGACGCAGTGGGTCTAGGCCCAGAAGTCCAAGGAGGCGCAGTGGGTCTAGGCCCAGAAGTCCAAGGAGGCGCAGTGGATCTAGGCCTAGAAGTCCAAGGAGGCGCAGTGGGTCGA